CTGGCAAGGGGGGACACACAGTCTCTGAGGTAGAGGGCAGCAGAGGTCAGCTTTCCAGGTCAGGAAGCAGGTCTGGAATAGACACAAAGGAAGACTGAGCCGGGGGCCTAGGTCTCCAGTGAGTGAGGGGTGGGGACAGTGGGGGGACCCAGGAGGGACAGCATCAGTGGGAAGGGACTGTAGAGGAGAGGCTGGGGCCCAAGGCGGTCAGCTTACCATGGACAGTCTGGACCTAGGGACCCAGGAGAGATCTGGGAGGACTGTCCGGTGGGTGGACAGGAACGGAGGCAAGGGGCGTGAGCTTCCCCTGTTCGTCCGGTGCGTCGAAGTCACAAAGCACAGTCGCCCATGTTTGCACGTGGCCGCCCCGGCACCTCCAAGCAGGAAAGGGATTGGCCCGGAGCCTGGTGCTAGGGGCCCCCGACCCGGCCATCCCGGTACGTGGGGACTGTTGCTGGGGACAGTGCCTGACGGTCTCCTCTCTCTCTCCGCAGGACGGCCGTCCGCACTGTCGGCCTTGCCGGCCATGAGTGGGATGGCCGACGTGAACTCCGCCAGCCGCCCCCACTATGCCTCGTCCATCCCTGTGCCTCGAGCTGCCTCCCAGACCCGGATCCACACCCCGGGCGCCTCTCCGCAGCTGTGGCCACGCCAGGCTGGCCTGGCCCCAAGCCCGCAGCGAGCAGCGTCCCCGAGACTGGGCAAGGCCACCGGCCCTCCCCGAGGCCCCTCGCCGAAGGCCTCCCGGGGGAGGGGCCCCCCCAGGGCCTCTGGGGGGGCGAAGGAGTCAGCCGAGGGTGCCGATGGCCTCTGCAGCTCCCCGTGGAGCAGCCCCAGGGCCAGCCCCAAAGCAGCCCTGTCCAGCCCGGCGGGGCCCAGAAGAGGGGAGACACAGAGCCCCCAGGGCAGGAGGTCAGCCCGGGAGGCGATTCCCGTCCTCCAGACCCGGAGCGGGAGCCCGTCCGGGCCGCTCTCCAGACCGCGTGGAGAAGCCCAGACGCCAGGGCTTCCCGAAGGAGCTGAGCCGCCCAGCTGCCCGGGAGGGGACCGAAGAGACAAAACCTGCGGGAGCCCCGGGGCACCCCGGCCTTTGGAGCCTGAGGCCGGGGCAGCCCGCGGCCAGGTGCAGAGCAGGCGCCCCGCCCCCGCCCTGGGGACCGTCAGCTTCTCCTCCGCACATCAGCAGAGCCAGCCGGTCACCGCCACGGTGGCCCCCTTCCAGTACCGGTGAGCGGGTGAGGGGGCGCGGGGCCCCGGGCACGTCCAAAGAGGGGCCTTGGTGGCGAGTGGCTGGTGGGGACCCAGAACGTGGGGGAAGTCAGGCAGGGGAGCCGACGGGGTTGGGGTCAGGGAGCCAGCGTGGGATTGGGGAGGCACGGGAACCAAGGCAAGCTGTGGTCCTCTCGGCCCTGGGGACTCCAGAACACACCGAGGCTCGTAAGAGGGGACCCCTAAAATGTCCACTCCTCTGCTCTCTGGGAAGCGACGAGACGCGTGTCAGGGTTTTGTGCTCTCCTGCCGCAGTGATCGGTGCCTGGGGTCGAGGACAGGGACGTCCAAAGTCCCATTTAGAGTATTCGCTTAGGGACACTGCATTTTACGGGGACATTGACACACCAAACACATTTAAGGACAGGCTGCCAGGTTGGCGAGGGATCCGTCCGAGGTGTCCTGAGAATGATGAAAGGAACCGCAGGCTCGGAGGGCCCGGGGTCCAGGGCTGTTTGAAACGTCCGCGGGCCCCGTGCCACGTGCGAATCTGGTTCACATGGCACAGCGCCGAGGAGCGGAGCCAGCCTCAGGGTGGCGACAAGCCAGAGCGAGACGGGCCGGAGGCACAGGTGCCCTGAGGCGGCGAGCGTCGGTCCCTGAGAGCATGCTCGCTGACCCCGCGGACAGAGGAGGGTCTGACTCGGTGGCCCCCGCCCCCAAAGTGTCCCTTCGACCGTCCGCCTCGCACACACGCGCCCGTTCCTAAGAAGCAACTCCCCCTGTCCCTCGTCACCCGCTCGGCGTAGATTCTGGAGGAAGCGGAGACGCAGGGCAGCCGGGCCTGTGGCCGGGCGTTTTCCAGGGAGCCTCCCGGCGACCCCCTGGTGTCCTGCTCCCACCTGCCCTCCTGCGTCCTGAGTTCCAGCTTGGGAGGAGGGTCTAGGCACGACACTGTGTGAGAGTTTGCGGTCCGACCCGCGAGTCCCCTGCCGTGTTCAGAGTCCGACCTTTTCCAGAGAAGTCAGAACCTTCTCCTCTGATGGTCTCCATGGGACCTACGCAGACACTGAGACGGAAGGGGAGGTGTGTCATGCCACCTCTGCCGGGCTTCCCTTCCCCGCCCCGCCCCCAGACCCTGCCCCCCGCAGGCCCCGGGTCAGGGGTACAGGTGGAATCGTGGTTTGGGCGATTAGAGCCGAGGACGCCCCAGGGTGCAGGCAGGTGGGTGGGCGCCCAGCACACCCTGCGGGGTCTGGAGCTGCTGCCAGGGGCCAGGCCGGGCCGCCCTGCAGGCAGCCTTCCCCGCCACGGAGGGGCCATCTGCTCCTTAGGAGCCACATCCTGCTTTCGTGGAAATCTGCTCCGCGCCCTAGCCCCGGCCTGGCTTCAGCCACTCCTGTCCAGTGTCCAGCCCGGTCGCCGTGACCTGATTCTCCAGGGACCGTCAGCCACGGCCCAGTCACCTGTCAAGGGACTGGCTCAGTCCTTCCCAGGGAACTTGACCCCCTGCCTGTTCTCTGGCCCAGCCACCCCCGCTTCGGGCCCCAGGGGCTGTGCATGCAGCTGGCCCCTCAGAGGCTGTGGTCTGCACCCCACGAGGGGAGCGAGCCCAGAGAGGCCAGCCGCGTGCGGCGAGTTGCTCGCAGAGCTGAGCCCGCGTCCCCGGGTGCCGGCTGTTGAGGTGTCGAGGACGTGGGACCTGGAGAGGAAGAACCTCAGGCACGCGGCGGACGTGCAGGGTCCCCGGGCCAGGCCCCTCCCGGGACCAGCATCAACGGTCCCTCCTGCCTGTGCGGCCTCCCCTCCCCCGTGGGCCCAGCTGCCAGAAGCCCATTTAGCTGGAGACAGGGAGAGGCTGGCGGGCGGGCCAGCTCCCCACGCTGGGTAATTGCCTGTAATGAGAGGTCCCGCAGCCCGTGTCCCCCGCAGCAGTGCTCAGAGGCCCCACCCTTCCTGCTGCCACACTGGCCCAGCATGGCCTCGTCCTCCGAGGAGCCATGTGGCTGAGCCTGCCCCTGCTTGCTGACCTCCCTGTCTGGACCCGTGAGAGGCCCCAGAGGCCTGTGTGTTCCCCAGATCTCACAAGGGGTGGGTGACCTCGGCTCGGAGGGCCTCTGCCCCGGGCGTGTGCACGTGGCTGCATCCACGCCCAGCCCGAGGGCAGCGATCAGCCCGCGGTCTCCCCGGGTGATGCCTGTCTGTGGAGCCTGGAGCCGCAGGCGTCTGTGCCCTTGGACGCCCCCACCCTCCTCTGCCCAGGGACCTGAGCCTCCTGGGGTGTGCACAGGCACCCGCCCATCAGGGGCCCTGGCGCAGGGGTGCGGCGCCAGCAGAGGAAGAGAAGCAGGCTCTGAGGGGCTTCCTCGGCCCCGTGGAGAGGTCTCGAGGCCCTGAGTGACCCCCTTCTCTGCTCTGCAGGTTGCGGACAGACCAGGAGCCCGGCCCCCTCCCCCAGGGTGGCTGGGCTGCGGATGGCTACTCCAGCCGCCCCTGTGGGACCGAGGACAGCTTCTCCGGTGCAGGTGAGTGCTCTGGGGAGGGCTTCCTGCTGGGCGGGGCCCTGCCCGCCCGGAGGCCGAGCCCCCTCTCCACCGGGAGGCCTCAGCTGCCGGCTGCACTTTGAGCTTCGGCCACACATGACCCGACCCGGGCAGGTCTTCCAAACCCGGAGTACTTCGAGGTCAGGCTAGGACAGCGGCCAGCGGGTGCTGTGTGTGTTTGTCCAGGGCTCAGGCTGTGGGGGCTGCTGGGGCCATGACAGGAAGATGCAGCTAGGAGACTGACAGCCCAGAGCCAGGCTCCGAGCAAAGCCCGACCAGCCCGGGAGGTGCCGGGCGCCAGGCCACGGTCCGGAGCCAGCTGCTCCTCTCTCAGACCGGCTTTAACGGGCCTCTCCCCGCGGGTCACCGTCCCTGTGGCATGCTGCGTCACAGCGTTTCACCTGATGTGAGTGGTGCTGTTAGCTGAGCCTCAGGGACCAGAATGTGAGACTTCCCAAGAACAGCCACTTCTCCAAGGGCAGGGCCACTGCCCGTCCCCAGGCCAGTCTCTGGCCCTGGCAGCCACTCAGTAGGTGTCTCGGAAGGAAGGGAGGGAGGAAGGGAGGGAGGGAGGGAGGAAGGGGGAAGGAAGGAAGGAAGGAAGGAAGGAAGGGAGGGAGGGAGGGAGGGAGGGAGGAAGGAAGGAAGGAAGGGAGGGGGCAGGAAGGAAGGAGCGTGCCGTGCGTCAGGTCACGAGCGGGTCGGATCCTGGACTCTTAGAGGAGCGTGGGGCGTGTTTTGACATCTCGCGTCACTGCAGAACTATCCGGAGGACAGCTGTGACCCACATGGAAGCTCCGTGAGACTCCACGCTGCAGGGAGCAGCTCTGTCCTCTGGCTTCCCAGACAAAGGGACGTTTGTCCCAGGAAAGAGACAAACTTGCTTTTGGCAAACCCAAGATTGTCATAGCGTCAGCTCCGTGCCCTGCTCCGGTGGGCAGAGCTGGGTGCAGAGACAGCCTCTCCCAGACGTCACCAGGCACTGGTGGCACGCCATCCCTGCCTGCCTTGTCCTCTGCTGGGCAGGTGGTCGCGTGTCCCTCTCGGCCTGGGACTGGGTCCTTCTGAACCGTCTTCAGGCCTGGTCTCCAGCAGTGACGTGGAGCCTCTGGGCCCTGAAAACAGCAGCCACACTCATTGTTGCCCGATGAGCCTCGGGGCGAGGCCTGTGGGGTGGAGACAGCCTGGAACAGGACACCCCGCCTCCCACAATAAGCACATGCGCGGGGCCCGGGGCACAGCTGGGCACAAAAGGAAACCAAATTTTACTGGCACCGAAAGGCCGTGGGGATCAGAGCGCGGTCACCGGGGTCTGCGTCTCTGTCTTTACATCCGCAGTTTGTCAGTGCGATAGCTCCCTCGTTTGCGTGCCACGTGGCAGGCGCCGGGGACGGCCACCTCGCCGGGCTCACACTCGGCACCGCCATGCCCGCCGAGGCCGCGTCTGGTGTCTGCGCAGGCGCGCTTGGTGGTCCCCAGGCTCATCAGCTGGAGGAGCAGGCCCGCCAGCTCAACATGGGTGTGGGGGTCACCCTGTGGGGCGGCGTGCCAGGACCCTGGGGTGGCGGGCTTCCTTAGGTCTCCTGGGGACGGGGCAGGGGGAAGGTCCGCAGCACAGCCTGTGCTCTGGCACTGGCCGGCCGTCATGGTGACCCATCATGGCCAGGGATATGCCCGATTCTGCTAGGCGGGGTGGGGAGATTTGGGATCTGCTTCATAGGGGAGCCTGAACCCCTCTGAGCTTGAGAGAAAGGACAGTGAAGGCTCCTGTCCGGGCCGTGCTGCACGCCCCACCCCCCGCCCCGCACCGAACTTCAGCCTGGGCATGACACGACCCATTCGTTCGTTCATTCGGTCGGTCAGTCAGTCAGTCAATCAACAAACCAGCAGTGGGCACTTGCCTTGTGCCAACACCACACTTGACGCTGGGGTGAAAGGTGAGACTTTGACCTGCCTTCAAGGACTTATCGTCGGGGACCATCCAGTGCGCCTGCCCTAGAGCCCGTTGGCCTCCCAGAAAGCCGCCCGGCGCCCGCCCTTGTCAGAGCTGACCAGGCTTGTCCCCGGGCCGTGGGAAGGGCACTGTGTGTCACAGACGGGCGTCGATGTGCCGCGCGGACCAGGCACGGCTGTCTCCCAGCTGCTGGCCGTGCCGTTTCCACGTTGGTTCGTGGGTGATGCGGGCAGTGAACTCCCATCGTCCCTGTCCCCTAGCACAGCCCCCAATCAGCGCTGGTGACATAGTGCGCCGAGTGAGCAAGGGGCGGAGGCCGTGGCTGTCCCCCAGAGGACAGTCCCCCGGGGGACCGCGCCTCGCTCTGCTAGCTCAGGAGGGGACCCGCCTTGCTCTGCCCTCTCCCCAGCGTGGTCCCTGAGGCCCAGAGTCCCTGGCGGAGCGGGGGAGGCCCCACCGCTTTCCACTGACTGCCAGGGGGCAGAGTCCAGTGAGGCGGGGTCACTGTGCTGCTGGAGGAGACTGTCCCCTGGCGACTTGCCAACAAGCAGGGGCGTTGGCCTTCGATGTCCCCAGGGTGTCTAGAACCAGCTGCTGCTCCGCTGGCCCCCCTGCTGTGCTGCTCCCTCCTGCCAGCGCTGCACCCCCCTCCCCCC